TGTATTCTTTTCATTAGATCTACCATTGGATATAAATATTTTTGACAAAAATTCATTATACTTTTTATAAAATTTGTTAATTATTTACTCACGTCGTTTTCACTATTAATCATTTATATTTATTTATTATTTTAGTATTTTTCAATCACATTTACACTTTATCTCACTTTTCGGCATCAAACAATTTCGTCAATAAATAAACCTAAGTAACAAAAGAAAAGCATACAATAATTAAAAAAACTTCGACGCTTAAGTAACAAAAGAAAAGCATATATTGAATAAATTGAAAAAACTTCGACGCTTCGAACCCAAAAGGAAGCTTACCGTAAAATGTCGGACACCGGCGGCGAATCACCTGTGGAAAACACGATTGGACATCCGTCGAAAGGAAATATTCCGATATCAAGTGGCCCAATCGACTGGAGCATTCACTGGACGGACTACGCGGTACAGCAAGCGAAAATTGCGCAGAAGACAGTAGAAAACACAGTAGAGAATGCAATCGAGATCACCAGATCGCGCGTTGATCGCATGCTCACCACCTCGTCGGCGCATTTTAATCAAACAATGGTGATATTCTTTTTATATTCATTATTGTGGTTGCCCCCTTTTATAACTGAGGTAGATTATTGCGAATTTTAGCTTCATTATTGAAGCAGAATGTAATGAATAGCGTGTATATGATGTGCGAATTCATGTGTTTCTGCAATTGGTACAGGTATCAGACCATGATTTTTGGTATTTTTGTCTAAATTTTCTGTTTGGAGGTTCATTTTTTGGTTAGCTGACAAGTTATGAAAATCCGTATATGCTGTGTGAATGCCATAAATTTCGTTGTATTCATAAGGTACCTTTACATGGGCTTTGGTTTGTATTGAATTGAAGCTGATATTTCAGTCTCATTGTAACGAAATTAACAAAATTTATTTAGTTTGGATGAGCTTAAGAAATCCATACCCTCCAGTCCAAGTGCAACCATAGGAGTAAACTTAAGTGGTTGTATGCATTCATTCTTGTTGGATGGTTGATATATTCTGTGTCTGGCTAGCTCTATTGCTGGGACCCTTTCATATTTCTCAGACCACGAGTCTTAGATGCGTTTCTAGCTAATCTTCGTGAAGGTACCACTCCCCAAATATTGTGTATGGATAATTTAGTTGAAATGGGAAAAATGGTATGCCTTTGAAGTTTAATGAAACTTAAGGCAAAATGTATACAGAAGTGTTTGTATTATAGGGCGCGGTTGGTTAGTGTTAAGTTTGTACTCAATCAAGTATCAAGTATCTATACAATTGTTATCAATTGGCACATATTGTACTTATGTGTTAACCTCATAGCATCTTTTGATTGGTCTACTAAGATTGTTATATGCACGTGAACTGATGCAGGATTCTTTGCAAGACTTGAAGTCTGAATATATCACATATGAGGATATCGTTTTTGGGAAGATTAAAGGTATGTACACAGTGGATAATTACGTGCAACAAAATACAAATTATTAAATCATTTCACATGTATCTTCCTGCAATCTTGCTAACTTTCTCCAGAAACAATCTGCAGAGGGTTTTCTTTATGCCTATTCACGCCCTTTGATTACAACGGGAGCTGTTCTTGGAGTGGGATTTTTTGGCCTAAAAAGTATGTTTGACCATGTATTGAGCATCTACGGAATACAATTATTTTTCTGATCATTTAGTTGCATCTGGAGTTTGTTTTTAGATGTATTTTGGATATTATCCCGCAGGGACCAGACAATTCTTGTCCTACAGCACAAGGCGCCTCTTTTTCAGTGAAGAGGTAATGGAGAAATGTTATATCTGCTTCTGCTTTTTTTTTAATGAACTGGTTATGTCTACTTGAAAGTTTACTTAAAAGTTTTTCTTAGTGTTAAAAACAGCTGAAGCATGATATCTTTCTCTTATACATGTATACATGAATGAAAATTTCTAGATGTAGATGCAGAAATTGTTTTGTGTAGTAATATTAAATAATTAGATATATTAGGAAGCAGCATTATTTACCTATTAATGCCGGCCGTTTAATTGATCACTAAGTTCAGCATTTCAGTACTGGAGCTAATGGAAAGGGATTAACTTTTCCTGTAAATGTTTGCTTCATGCAGACATTGCTGGCTAGAGCTGATGCAAAAGTCCAGAATTTACAGGAATCAATAGATGTTTTGAAGGCTGAAAGCGTAAAGCTTGAGGTACTATTTTTTACTCATCTCTCTATTTTCTCCGCATATGCCTTTCATTTTGCATTCGTCATGCCTTGTTATTTGCATTAAAATCTCTTGTGCTTTCTCATTACTGAATTTGAGACATCGAACAGTGTATATTTGGGGGGGTTGGGGGGGATAGAGCTCCCGAAAGTCATTTCCTTTTTCACACATTTTATGATTTGTGACGTGCCTTCCAGAAATTTAGTTTCTTCCATAATTATTTTTCTTAATTATTTCTGTTTTTTTATACATTGCTAAGGATGGAGGGGCTGGTGACAATTCTGTTGTCATTTACCTTGCATAAGATAGGCATTCAACAACAAAGAGTATCTTTTCTTGTCACGTCTTCTTTACTTTTTTTTGATAATATTGTTGGGGTTGAACAATGAATACAAATTATCTGAGAAATTCTTTCACTTATAGTAAATTTATAGCTCCAACCAACAGTGGTAAAATAGATGAAGCAAGCCCTCATCATTTCTTGTATATATGTCCAATCTCATTACGTGACATTTTATGTTTTAAATTCTAATGTCCACAGAAAGCTGCGTTGCAAGCTGAAGAGGACTTGGTGAGAGGGAGAACAAAGCTAAGGTCTGAATTTCCTAGATAAAAAATGCAGTTTCGGAACTTCTTTTACCATAGTATTGATATAATCATCTGATTTTACCTTCCTGCTAAAATTGTGTATATGTTGCAACCAGACAAGCCGGAAAGCAAATACAGGGTGTCATCAACTCTGCCTACAAAATAGAAAGGCAAGCACGAGGTATGTGCCATTTGCTTGCCCTCTGCATATATGCCTGTGTTGTCTGCAAACACATGCACTTGCTTACAATCTCACATGCTTGAAAAGCTTTCTTCCCCATCTTTGTCTGAACGTATAAAAATTGCACCAGGCTTGAAGGATGTTCTCAGTGAGCTTCCTAGTATAGAAGCATCTCGATTTCGAAGACAAGTAAGTCATTTTTTCCCATGAATCAGTTACATACATGATTATTCACAGTGCAAATGGCCTGTAAATAGAAGGCATAGTTTATTGCTTGTCATATGCTATTATATGTAATATTTTATTATCACAAAACTGGAAATAGTTAAAAATAAAAAAATAGAAAAAAGAAAATCTCCATGGGATTTTGTTCCGTCGTACACTTTAACTGTTGATTCGGAATTTGCTAAACATCATTAAACTCCCAATTTCGTCCATCAACTTTGAAAAAACTGCAAACAGCCCATCTTTTCCAGCTGCTGACTATCCCTAACATCCAGAATAATAACAATGGCATGTATTGACCAGCCATAACTGATTGCTTGTAGCATATAACCATACAGGGGACATAGAATAATACAAGAACTAGGAATTTCAAGATTGCAAACACTGAAACCCCCCTTGAGACTCGAATTTTTCTTTTACGTATGCTGAAGCTTTTTCCTTTTTTTCAATTTCTCTCTTGTTAATCGACATTTTGTGTTTCTAGGTTAAGAACCTTGCTAAAGAGGCGAAGAAAGAGAGGAATGCAATGTCTAAGGAAGTTACGAAGATTAGCAATTATGGGATCTCAGTCTAATTGTCACCAGTTTTGGTCCTATATGGAAATTAAGGCTTTCTTGCTTTGCTCTGTATGGTTTGATTCGAGTTTTTGTTTCAAAGTTTGTGGGGGGAAGTAAACCCTTTCATCTCTTATTGAACAGTTGAACATCACTTTTTCCTAAGAAAAGAATATGTACACGCGAACAGCTGAATAACATGCATGTGTGTACTGCAGAATATTAATAAATTGAACTGGTATATAATGTTATGAGTTGTATAAATAAGGCATTAGGCAATAATTACATAGGTCGTAATAAATTGTCAAAAGGAAAGATTGATTCGGAGGCTGATTTATTCATATTTCAACAAGTTTACATATAATATATGGGACAATCTAATTTTGACCTTTACCATTCAAGAACGCATTAGTTTTTTTCTTTTTTATGCCTTTGTTTTTTGAGTAACGGAAGTTTGGATCTATATGATGTTGAGATTGGCCATTGAAAAGTGAGCAAGCATATGGAGCGTTGACTAACTATGGGGGTTTTGATGATGACACGTGGCGTTATGAGATGCGTGGAGTGATGGGATTGGAGCGCTTCGTGATAATTTGGTCTGGCCAATCGAATGTGCCACGTGGTGGGAGTTGTGATGAATTTCATGGGCATAGCTTGTGAGTGGCCTGTGGTGGGTGCATGAAGGATCGGGCAGCCCACATGCATTGTGTAAGGTAGCATTATGCATAAATTAGTTTAATATTCATTGATAAATAATTTTTTCAATTAATATTAATAGATAACTTAGTTACTACTGTAAAGATAAATATATTTATTTGTTTATTTATAAATATAGATTATTGATGTCAAATCAGAGCCCATCAAGAAATAATTAACTTGATATATCGTATATAAAAATAGATAAAAAAATTCAAAAGATATAAACTTTTAAAATCTATTTATAATTTGAGTTCGTCTCGTGATTTATTTTTTTAAAAGTTCTAATATACATAGATAGAAGTTAAGATTTACATAGAGTACTTGGAAGCACAAAATAGCATATATAATTGCGATCAACAGAATTCAACGTATAACATTACGAAGCACCAGAAATTGGAACGTAAGCTCGAGAAACTCTTTATTAATTAATATATGGAGAATAATAATAATAATGTCAGGCACGCGGCATGCTATAATAAACTCTTCATTAATTAATATATGGAGAATAATAATATGCGCACCATACAAGGAAAAACCCAGATGAAGTCCAAGTGAGGTTCCATCCCAAAACTAATTGATGGAAAGAGGAGTAGCCCACTAGACTTATAAGTAAGGCCTATTTTCCATGTATAAATTATGTGGAATATCTCTGGTATTATAACACTATCTATTAAAAATAATAACAGTAGGCTAGCTGTAATGCTGGTATTGATGAGCAGCTGCAATATTTTATGGCATACACAAAAATGTCGCAGCTGTTGTCTCTAGCATTATATGCATAATAATCACATTATGTTATAGGCATGATAGCAAAAAATATATTTTGTTTAATTTGTACCTTTTCTTTTCACTCTTAGATTCAATTAAATTAGCTAAACTTACCACCTATTTTGTGAAACTCATATCCAACACATTAATTAGCTAGCAACCTTTATTGCTCATAATCGTCGTTGCATATCAAATAATTAGCACAGATTTTTATATATTGTTGACAGAGTGAAAATGTGAAACCAATAGTAATTTACATGTCTTTATACTGCTTTGACAAACAAAATATAAAAGATTTCACTGCATATTAGAGATACTAAACAAAACGAATTGCTCGTGAGCTCCCATCAAACTAATCGATAATAAGGATCTTACGTAAATTTATGGATTTTTAGCTTGACTTGACTCGTTAAAGCTAGATTATATTGATAGATGAGCCGAGCTCGAACTCGTTTAGTTAACAACTCTGTTTCGATAAAAGACTCGAGTATGAGAAGCTCGAGCTCAGCCCGTTTACAACAGCAAATATAATGATATATAGAGAAGAACTCGAGATTTTGAAGTTTATGTTATATTTTTTGTTAATATATGTAGGTATCACTATGATTATGAAACTCAAGAGTGGATACAAGTAAAATAGGATATTATGTTATGCTAAACACATATTACATGAATAAACTTCTAGAAGCAATATGTAAGAAAGTAAATTCTTTGCATGTACTTACCAATTAGTTGACTTCTTTACCTCTCTCGTTTCCATACAGACGGTGGGGCGTCATTTTACCTCTCTCGTCTGCCCGGCTATTTGGGTAAATTTTCTTTACTATTCACAATAGATGACTTCTTTTGAAAGCTGAACTTCTCTGCATTTTATATATTTATTGGTTTCTAAATTATTTTTCTGTTAATTTTTTTCAGGTGAATAAGTGGCTTTGACAGGCGATAAACTTACGGGCGCGTAAATGTTGTCGTGTGGGCTTGCAACTCACTATTAGCGTACCGCAGTAAGTCTGATTTATTACTTTTTTACTGGTATTTCTGTTTTTCACTTTTTCTTGATATCACCTTCTGCTACTTTCACGGTCTACTGTTATTCGATTTTCTTCATATTAGAAATTACTGTCGGCCGAGAAAAAATTAGGAAATTTGGCGTTTAGCGGTGACCCCTCTGCCATTGATGATTGTTTATCGAGTTTTGAAGATAGAGTTCGTTTGGACCAAACTAGTGTGCTTCACAGGTAGATTGTAATCGTCAATGATTCTGATTAGATTCTTGTGAATGGCATTTTTAGCTACATTCTGTGAACTGATAATTTCTAGTTGCTGGTTAGGATTGAAACAGTGGACAAATGTTTCGGCCATGGAACAGTTGAAGAAATTATCGAGTCCTTGGTAAGCACATCTTCGTGTGATCATACGCAGAAAAACAAGCAGACGAGCTAAAATTTGATTTCGAAAAGCAGCCAACATCTTTTTTCCGAGGTGTAGAGTTTGTAACTACTGGTCAAAGACTACTTTTATAATCTAAGGTTTTTCCCTAGGAAAACGAGGCTGCCAAAACGAACGACTTGTGGTGCGTGTCAACTCTGCAGAAGCTTAAAGAAGCTGCACCGTGGAGCTTGAAGGTTTCCTTAAGATCTGTAAGTGCTTCAAATGTGCATATCCTAATTTTCTGCTAATTCTCACTTACTTTTTTTTAAGAAAAAATTAAATTTATCTTTTTTCTTGAGTTGCATCAATGAATGAATGGTGAGCAGATAAGAGAAGGAAGGTTTCAAAGTCATGAGGAGTGCCTCATTAGAGAATATAGAATGACAGTTCAAGCCATTTCCAGGTAGATAACCAGCGACTTTGAGGAGGTATACAATGAACTTATTTTTTTCCTTTTATCAGGAGGCTAAATCATTGAAAAGTGCAACAAAACATACTGTTTCTTCTAGTATTTCGATATTTCTTCATATGTTGTGAAAACTTTTGCAGTGGGAACCTCCAAGTTTGGAGCATGTGTCTCAAGATATGGTTGATCAATACTTTTCTGCTCTGTCTCCATTCGAACCTGATCTAGAGTTAAATATAATGGAGTCACCAGAATTTACCCAGGTTCCACTCAAAAAATGCAGCGCCTCAAGTTTCTGAAATCTCAAATCTTGTCATGAAGGCAGGTCAAACCATCATACTTGTATACGTTATTTTTCAAAGTATGTAATTTTAGCATAAAAGTAAACATATGTTGTATAATGTGTTCATCAGTCGATAAAGATAGGATTCTCACGTCTCGACTAAGTTACAACATATTACAGTCAGATGAAATGGCTCCAGATGGGCAAATAGACATATTTTACCTTTTCCTTTTGGATACATTCTGTATGTGAAAAGGCAAATTGCCACTAGCAGCAGCATGAAACATAAGGCATTTGGCTCATCCAAACATCTTTTCTTAGTTATCAAATACTGCCATAAATAAAAAATAAGAGTATCCACAGTAGGCATACCATTGCACTGTAAACAACAGTACATCCCATCATTCCCAAGCACATTTCAAAACACCCTAAAAAGTTTTAAGGAGACGAAAGACCTAAAAAGTTCAGAGTGAAGTCTTCAAAACACCCTAAAAAGTTTTAAGGAGACGAAAGACCTAAAAAGTTCAGAATGCACTTCACTTGAACAAAAGCACAATTCGAGCTCATGTAGAAATTTTCTTATTCGGCCTCCGCCGGGTTGACTTCCTTCTGCACAATCTGCCAACAAAGATAAACCATTTTCGTCGGTAATGTCAGTGGATTAAAACATCTTAAACTCCATGTTGTAGAGGAGATTGTGAACTCTTATTTTTAGCTTCTAACAGGTAGCTCTGATGAAGCTAATAATCAATTTCACGTTTAGCCTTAAAAGACTCCCATGAACTGAAAATTGAAAAGATATTCAAAATTAATAAACAGACACCTGGGTGATATATTCTTTGATTCTGTCATTAGTGGTTTCATCTAGAGCTCTCTCAGCAAGCTCATAGCATATAGTGTTGCCATCTGGGCCACTAACTTTTTCTTTCTGCAAGTATCTGCAAAAACACGAAGCCATAAATCAGATATTGAACCCAACCCAAATTTTTATGTGAATGTAACAGACAAACTGGTCACCTTTGCTGGACAAGTGCTTCCAATGCCATCTTGGTGTTTCCAAAGTTTGGATGGTTTTCCTCGTTTTCGTTCACTCCCAAGCGCCTCAGATGATGCCATAGATTTTCTTGAAGAATTCAAGAAAACAAAATTGATTTATAAGTTAGGCCAAAATATGAAGTAGCATCCAAACTGGGAAAGCTTGGAGGGTAGATTCCACCAAAGGCAAAAGGAAAGAGAACAAAATAAGTATAAGTGATGACTGTATATACTATGTTGAATATTTTTACCTTACAGTTAATAGGGCCAAGGGGAAAAATGGAAGGGAAAAGTAAAAAAAAAAAGAACAATTATCTTCAAAAATTACAAATACCCTCATAAAATTTGGTTCTATTGAATATTGCAAAGTCTTTAAGGGTGAAATTTGTAAGACATATGCAAACCTAAATAGAATACGTGCAATACCTTAGGAAGGGTTCTATAGATAACTGTATAGTTCTCTAATCATCTTTCCCTTCTCTCTATGAACATTATCTCCTTATGGTGACTAATCATCCTTTTAATTTCCCTTATCTCAACGAGCATCAATCTCTTCAAGATGGCTTATTATACTACGTCTGACTGCCATACAACGTTTATCACTGAGCTAGCATACCTTCGTTAACTTTTCCGCCACTCAGATTAATAATCCCAACAACTGCAAAAGCAAAACCCATCTCATGTGACAAACTTGTATCCTCCACAAACTTTTTGTAGACATCAGCTGGCAGCTCACTTAAGATTGTATATGACTTAGCATCACCAGTAGCTGCAACAATAAATACTGATAAGAACACACACTTAAAATGCACGACGGTTTAAGGTTATATCCATTCTACATGTTGGCCCACTCCAAGAAGCTACCAACTGTCTCAATATATACAGTGTAGAACAGAAACACACGTATCAGGGGAAGTCAACTGTTACCAATGTATACCTATTGCACCATCTAAGAGACCACGGTTGACCAAGTAAGGGAATTAAACTTCCTTGCCCTTGGTCAGGATCGAGATTCATGGTGAGCACTGGTTTGTGATGACTAGCTACTTCTAACTAAAAACTCAAGAAGGTAAAAAGATAAATCTTAAGCATTTGCACGAACTCTGAAGATTGTTGCATATTAACTCATGTAAATCTTCTGGAGAAAAAAAAAAAGAAAGAAAAGTAGGTGGCGTCTCATCTAAACTTTCTAAAAATCATTAACAGAAGCATCCAGATATGTTGATGACTAAAAGTGATGAAAATCATATAGACTAAATTTCTTTCATTTCTGCTTTCCCAGAGAACTCAAAATCCTATAAGACTTGAAACTATCTTAAGGTACAAATTTTCACTACCAACAGCTACTGATTGAGTTGTTGTGATAAATTTCAATCATATTCATCTTCAAACACAACCTTCCCCCAAATCCTCTGCTCAAAATTCAAACCTTTCTATCTAAATACAACATTAGAGGGAAAACCATTCATTTCATTACAAGAAGTGATCTCTTTTAAAGTTCCCGATATCTTAATATTTAAGTCTAGCTTGACATGGTTCATGACACTTGCATGAGTAAGAAATAGCTAAACCTAAAATTCAAGCGACTCCTAATAGTAGAACAACGTGCTCACCCATTCACTTTCATCAATCAAAGCACACGCACACACACACACACACACACACAAATGAATCTATAAATCAGTATACTCACTCTGTTGAGAAGCACGGCCAGGATTGGCCGAAGGCCGAGACCGCTGATGCTCTTTCAATCCGTAACCAAAAATCGAGGAGAGTTTTGATTTAGCCTCGTTGATCACGAAAGCCGGCAAATTCCTCTGCTTGTAGCCTTTACCTGTAATCAGCTGCGTCAGCTCCTCTCTCTTGATCGGACAGCGTCCGTTTTGCTCGTATCTGAAGAGAATATAGCGGATCACGTCCCCAACAAGTTTATCCTTTTCCTACGCCACACACACACGCGTGCGCGAACGCACATAATTTTAGGCAAAATTGAAATGTTTTCCACAGACGCATCGCCATTACCGAGTTGCGGAGAAACAGAAGAGGGGAAAGCGGAACTCACATGTTCCGATATGTCGAGCTGAGAGAAGATTTCATGAGCGTCGGACATTGTTGAGGGATGGATGGCAGATGTGAAGTAACGAGCCCTAATTTTTCTCCTCCGACGAGAATATTGAATGCAGAGATATTTGTGGAGGCCAGGCAGATTCTTCACACTTACAACTGAGAGACGGTTCGAAAGTCTAGAATTTGGCTGCCGCCATGAATGGGCGGGAAATTCTCACAGTAAAAAAAGATGAAAAAACATGTAGCCTCTCTATGGCCTACACCACAGGGCACAGAGCACTAGAGCAGCAGTTTTGCTAAGCTCCGAGGGCAAAAATGCAAAAAATAGTTTTACTAATCCCATTATAATGGAATTAATTAATAGTAATTTCATAACTTTTAAAATTGATAGTAAAAAATAAAGATAACTTTTTTAGGGAATTCTAATTATGTACATGGAAATGACCAGTCACCTCGTAATCGTCATATTAGCTGACACACGTCACATCCACGTTACTTTTATGAAATTCAAAAAGAAGTCACGTCGCAAGCTCCATATTAACTTAACATAACTTTTATGAAATTCAAAAGTAGTCTCACACGTCATAACTCTATATAGTCCATGAGAATTCAATTTCAAAAATTGCCGATTTAGAATTGTTTTGGTCGAAAATATAATTTTCTTTAGAAAATACTGTTGTCATACAATAAATTGAAAATAGTTGAGGGAAGAGAAATTAAGGGTTTCGTAAAGTCGCTCATTGATGTTCAGTGACTGAAATATACACTCGATTGTTTATGTCTATAAACTCGTGTTTGTAAAAATATGGCGGCAAACTTAAAGAGTTGTATATATATATTATGGGTTTGACGCAGATTCTAAGACTTGATGAAATTATTCCAAAAGCTCTCACATTCTTATGCATTTCTTCGGGCAACTAACACTTATTACAAAACATTTGAACTTTTAAGAGCATCATTTCTTAGGCCATCCAAATTTATCAACTGATATTTCCTTTTCTATCATAAAGTTTTCTTTATCCACAGTTTTTTTTTTTCTTTGATATAAAAGGCTTCATAACCACATTAAACCATCAAGTTCTTACAGAACATAGAAGAAAAAAAGGATTGGAATACAGTCCGACCAGACCACATAAACGTGTTGCTCGACTTCAAAGCCCACTTAGCAATGTCGTGAGCTATATGATTTGCAGAGACCACACCACAGTCCAACCACCAATTTGATCTAAACCATTCTTGCTCCACCAATGTTTTTGTCTTCCACGAACTTTCACATATGGCTTTTTTTGTGTGTGTGTGTCGGTGGGTGTTGGCCTTCTTTCATTTGCAGTATCGATCCACTTTGCATTGTTGATCTTATATTTTCGACATAAAATGTAAGGAGAAATCGTTTCCACATACATTAGTATATCCAGTCACTCACTCTTGTAATTTATGTTCACAATTCAAGGACTATCTATATGTTTCTAATATCACATTGATTGTGAATCATATGGCATTAACTTGAAGATTTTTCAACGGTGAAACCTCCTTTTAGACTTTAATTTGTGAAAAGCAGCCTGCATATAAGAATAAGTAAAGTAGCAAAACTCACAAAAAAGTGCAAGGGACATGGGAAAAATGTTACCCCTCAAGACACAATGTTGTAAGAGACAACTCAGAATTTTCAAATTGGGATTTGTACTGGAGCACACCTTCATAGTTGTGGTTCATTATATGTTACTCATATATAGTAAATTAGGCGCGTGCTAAGAACTTATCATATTCCAACGGCATGCCTTTGCAAATTACATCAACTCAACTAAAGAATGGATTAATGTGCAGTTCGCCAAGTTAGATACACATAGTGCAACAAAATTTCACCCATATGACAAGGGCACGTTCGAGAGGAGACTTCTTACCAATTTGAATTGCCATCCTTAATCTGGGAAGAAATCGACATCCTTTGGTGGACCTATTCGAAGCTGGTTCTGGAGCTCCACCTGCTTAGGTACCACGAGTATAACTCCTTTTCCCGAAGAAGAAAAGTATCTTTCGAGCACCTTCTGCAATCACCGATTCGAAATGGGAAAAGGCCTCATATAATGTGAAAATTGTGATCTCATTCCAAATTCGAGAGCGTTGATCTTGCAAAATTACGGGTTTCTTACTTACAGAAGCAAAGCTATTTTTAAAGTAAATACAAACCTCAAGGGAGAGTTTGAGTATAAGCCTCATATGCTTTGTTAGTCACCCCTTCAATTTTTTTTGTCAATAGGATTGTTTTCATCAATAGATTTTGAAAAAGCTCGACATACAAAATCAAGACATAATTGAGAATGAAATTTTTGCTGATCACTCACCATAGCAGCATAGGCATCAATCATCCGATGACGAGCAGATTTACCGACGCCCCTGAATATTTTCAAGTCAATTTTATTTCAAAATTAAAAATGACGAGATACTCCTAAGCTTTAATCTTCACAAGATTACACTAAAATCTACTAAACAGTATGGGATGATCTTAGTTAAAAAGGGGTGCATTATGAAATTCAACTACAGCTTAAAATAAACATAACCAGTGGAATGATTACTCGTCTATCATATGGCTTAGTGCCTCAGCAGATGTTCCATGCTCGTCTTGCAGGTACACCCTCCACCCCCTGAGTTTAGAATCGAAATTCAAGATCAACACAATTTTGCTCCAAGCAGTCGAGATTTATAAGAGCTAAGACAATATCCACAATATGCATGAAATTGGCTTTCTTTACATCAGCTGCTCTTTTTCGTGTAATATCCGCAATTCTCAGCTATCAAACGGTTGAAGTAGAAATTTTTTTCAAAGCTTTTGCAAGACGCAATTTTTATAAGACTTACTATCGCCAACTCATATCAGCTACATAACCAAAATTGCAATCTATCACATAATAAAATTTCACCTCTCGGCCGCTCGAACAGCAAGCCTCCCGGCCACGCTACGAACTTTATTCGACTGCACTGTCTCCTTCCCATCAATGGACTTTGGAAGCCCAATTATAAATTCATCGACTTCCTACTCGCACCAAAAATAAAAAAAAAATTAAAAAAATAAACAACACTCAAATTCATTGGCAAAACCAGCAAAATAAAATGAATCTTAAAAGTAAGTTCTTTTTTTCCTCAAGAACCTTTTTTTCAGCAATCTCAAGAAGCCTGAGTTCAAGCTTCTGCCCTCTTAACTCAAGAACCTAATAAACAACACCACCACAAAACCCATCTCAACATATAATGCAAACAACAAAACCCACAAACCAAAAACAAATAAACACATAAAATATTTTTGTATTTATAAACTTCTGGTACCGTTAATGGGCGAAATGAGTAGCCTTTGCTGACGGCAACGCCGGTGCGGGACAGTCCCAAGTCAAGGCCTAGGCTGAAGCCGCCGTGCCACGACGGGTCGCGCCGCCGGAGAATGGCGTTTGGGGGAATTTGCTCCTCCCAGGGTACTGAAACTGGTGATGATTTCGCCCTTATACATAATAGTTGGGTTGATTTGGGTAAATGGATTGAGTTTCTGCGTTGAATTTGACTTGGGGTTAGTGGGGTTGGGGATGATGAGAATGGGCTTAGGGTGAGGAATTGAGCTGCCATAAATTCTTGATTTTGTATTTTTTTTCAGTGATTAAATATTTGTCTAAATATTTCCGCCATTGGAGTTTGGAGTAGACGTGGACAAAACCCCGGTTTTGGACCGGTTCTGGGTCAGACCCATCGATTTTGGGTTAGTTCTGGGCCGGGGGTTTTGAGGAACTTAAATTGGCCCAAACATATACACGGGCCAGTTCATTGAACCGGCGATTCCAGGCTGGAGTTGATAACACAATTACGCTTAAAGCAACTATCTTATGAGTAGGTTATTGTGAATATAATTAGGATCAAAAGGGCACGTGGATAGGGGCACAAAGCTAATAGAATTTGGCAATTCGAGCACCCGGGCGGTGTGATTGGGTGGTTCGGCCACTCTGGCAGCTAGATTGGGCATATCTTAGGCAACAAGGTAATACCTCTATATAAAGGGGTGATGTATCATCATCATCATTCTACATACTTTGAATATTCTAGATACACTTTATACCTCATCTTCCTCAAATACGACTTGAGCGTCAGAGCTTTTATTCCGGGACAACCTCCGACATTGTTTTGCGAGTAATTCCAGCGATTCAAGGACGGTTGGTGGGACGTTGACCGGATTGAGGGATTTTACATTACCAAAATGCATATGAAATATGAATGTCAAATCAAACCAAGTGAAGATTAATTAATTTGATATTATTCTATATAAAAATCAAATAAAGAATAATCATTTATTAAATTTAAAAATATATTTTATAATTTATGTTACTCAAATATTTTATTTTATAATTTTAAAAGTACGAATCATCGTTTGTATCTATGTGGAGTGTGGACGGTACAAAACACCATTAACTAAGGGTGAGATTGGATATAAACTTAATAAAAAAAAAACACACAATCAAAACTCACATTTAACTCAATTTTAACTCAATCTCCCTATCATTAATATTATCGATATAAATATCAACCAAACATTCTTACACACCACATCATCTTTAATTCACTATTCATCCACTCACATAATTTTAATTAATCATCACTTTCAGTCATTTTTCTTTTACTTTACATGAAATTACTTTAATTGTTTTATTTTAAATATTATTTTAATTTAAACTTCAATTCCCACTAACAACTAATCATATCACATTTTGAAAATTAACTATTATTAACACATACTCAACAAATTCTTCATTTATACGCAACCACGCAAGGAGAGACTTTCCTTAATTTCTAGCTATTTTTTCCCAAAATTATTATTAAAATTAGGGTAAAGAATTAATTTCATAGGTATGCTGGTTAGAGGTATAACTTATATGAACCGAATATGCTGAGAATTCACTTAGCTTCAAAGGCCCCCCTTATACTCTTCTTTTTCAATCGCCACTTTATTAAGCTACGCATATGCTGACTATATATTCTATCTTTTATTACCTACAACAAACTACCTATCTTACATTGCCCCTAACAATCAATCACACACACAAACACACTTCTCACAACTCTTGATATCTAATCAGTGTTGGTAAGAAAAACCCAGATTTTGTTTGTAACATGAAGTTCGGCAAGAAATTGAGACACCAAATTGACCAGAGCTTGCCCGAATGGCGCGAAAAGTTTCTAACTTATAAGGAATTGAAAAAGCTCGTGAAATCAATCTCCATGAGCTCGCGTACCTTAAACAAGTCATCCGACTATGTGATAGACGTAGAGGCTAAGTTCACGTGCCTTTTGAACCATGAGATCGAAAAATTCAATGCCTTCTTCGTGGAACAAGAAGAGGACTTCATCATTCGGCATAAGGTTAGTATATCTTATTTTCGCCTAGTCAAGTACCAAAAATAATTTCACCGAACGTCTTTTCATAAGCTTATAAGCTCTTGAATAAGTTGTAAGCTTATACATTTTACACCTCTTATTGCTATAGATTTTTTTTTTTTTNATATTTCTTCACATCATGCAAAAACAAATGAATAAATGCATATATAAACAAAATTTTCAGGATTGGCAAAGATACTAAAAAAGTACAACAAAAGAACGGGCGGAGTCTTGCGGCTGCCCTTCATACAAAAAGTCCTTCAACAGCCATTTTTCACCACCAAACTATTATCGAAGCTTGTTAAGGAGTGTGAAGCCACCATAGACACGGTTTCGCCGACGTTTGAGAACATTGCCGGAATATTCCACGCCAAAATGGATGTTGTGGCGGTGCCGCCTGCCGGAGAATGGATATTGAGGAACACAGTGGCGGCGCTTCTGACGATGAAGGGGATGAGAAGCGGGAGCTCGACTTACGGCCAATTTTCTCTTCCGCCTCTCAACTTGCCCGATTTTGACGTGATCGAGTCGTTGCAATTTGAATTTGGTTTCCCTATACATATTCCATGATTATATGTATATATGTAGTTGTTAGCATACATTGATTGATATTTAGGTTTAGGCAAGTGTATGTCTATGTGATGGATATGATATATTGATTGATGATTGTTCCTTGCTTAAGTCAATTCATGCACAAAGTAGAGAGTGAAAGTGTGTGCCTTCATTCGCATAGTTTAGTAGGGTTAATTCGAACCGACTAGTGTGGGCAGGTTTGATCAGTCGAATCACACATGCCCATACAAGTGTGTGTTTATCAAATGTGAAATTTTACCAAATGTTATGTAAAAATTATATAAATATTAAAAAGTTACGCTAAATATTTTTGTTCAAACTATTTATTCTAAAATTAATATTATCTCTTATTCTTTAGATCTCAAAAAATAATTTCCTTAAAAGAAAAATAAATAATAATTAATAATATAGTCGAACCATCTTAAAATCTTATAAATAATTATTATTATAATAGTCAAACCACGTTAAAATCTTAAACGAGCAATGGCCAAGTTGGGATTAGTGTGGAATGAAGCCGAGCAGTCATCTCACTTATAATCGGGTCAGGGTTCCCAAAGCGACCTTAAACTTGCGTTTGGCTGAAATGATATATTCAATTTAGTATAATTAATTTCGGGTTTCGCTTAATATTCTTTGTTTTCTATCCATCCACTCAATTGGATTAATTTAGCCCAATTTCATTACAGTACACTCAACAAACAAACTGATCCAAGGTTGATCAATCTAATAAAAATCTAATTTATGCTCTTAAAAAAATATTTTATTTAGTTATTTATAAAATGATCCTAGGTTGATCAATCTAATAAAATCTAATTTAAGTTTTGTTTTAAGAAACATTTTATTTAGTATTTACGTTACATACACGAAAAAAAAGACCTCACACTGCTAGATTACTAATAAATTGCTTATTCTAAACCACATAAAGTTGTTAGTTACGTTTTAGCGACTATTCACAATAATCACTAAATTCATGTCGATGTGATCATCAAACCAAAAGATGGAAAATAAAAGAAGAAAAGTAAAAAGACGGGGAAAAAATCAGGTTCACTACCACGTTTTCGGTTTTGGCTCCGATATGAAAATAGCTACGACAGGCTGCCTGAGTCCGATGATTCTTTCATCGCTCCAGTATTTTTTCAGACCTTAATTGAATAACTTCGATTGTTCTTTGTCATCGTGGCAAATAAGGTAAATCCCATTTCTCAAGTTAATAATTTCTGCTTTTGTCTCTTTGAAATTTGTCGATCTCAATCGAGGAAGAAAACCTAGGATTTACTCTGTTTCTTGGGTTCCTATTCATTAGTGTGCCCCTTTTTATTTTCAGTTCAAACTAATCCAGCTCTTATTCCAATTTTCGGAGATTAAAATAATAAATAAATAAATAAAGCCATTTTGGCATGGCAGCTTATGTCCTGATTTTTTTTGCTGATTCAATTTGTGGGTTTTTGCTGTTTATTTTATCTCGACAGGTATCAGCACTTTGTTGCTAGATTCATTTTTCTATTGCTAGGTTATGGTGTTATCTGTAGTTTTTACGTTGCAAGACTTAAACTTTTCTTGTACAATTAAGCAAAGTATGAACATACGTTTATTAATTACCAAACTTATAAATATATAGATAGGTATGTTTATGTTGAACAACTTGTAGTTAATTAAGCTACTTTGGTTAGACTCACATAACTTAGCATGGAAGCTACTAAACAAGACCAGTGCCAATCGGCTTTACTTGTGTAAAATCTTGATCATTTTTTTTTCCGTTCTCTTCGATATCAAGTGAAGAACGCTCGGAAATGTTGAAGAGTGGAACTATGGGAATCATTGTTTTTGGAGGTCATGATTGAGCTGTTTGTAGAGTTTTACCTTATGTTGGATTATGCATATGCGTCTTGAATGAAAACTATATTGATTTGGTTGGAATCAGGGACCCAAAAATTGATACTGTTACTTTAAAGATTTCTGTATTCATGAAGAATCGAAGATTGCTTTTGATAGTTTTTGAAGTTATCTTATCGTGGCTGGGTGTGGAGCTGCAACTTGACTGATGCAAGATTAATTAGATGTGGTGCTGCCCTTGTTAGATTTCTCTATACTGTCTGATTTCTTTTCAGTTCATTTACTATTTGCCATGCCTAGTCCATAATTTGTTAGACAAAACTCCCGAAAAAGATTCGATTTTTGTTTTCCTCTTTCAATAACCTTTAAGCATGAAACTTTCTGGCTTACTGAGTAAGTCTTAGATAATGTAAACCTATTTCTGATTATTGTCTTTTCTACAAAGCGAAGCCAATTAGTTGCATTATCACGATATGAAATGTCATAATTGGCATATTGGGTTTTAGTTTTTGTGCGCACTGTATAAAATCCATACAGACCTAATGCTTTTTGCTTGTTTTCAGCGGTTAAGCTAACATAACAACATCTAGTGTTCGCATTTCAGTTTTTTTCGTCTCAAAATTACTTCCCATTCTCATTTCAGGTAATTTCAAGCTTATGTCCAATTTGTTGAAGTATTCACCAAGTCTTTGATTTTTTTTTTATTTTTTTTAAAAGAAAATCACTTGACTAACCTGACGATGGCATCATTTACCTCAAGACTCGCTTTCTCCCATTTTCCCCATAAGCCCCCGAACATCCGAAATTCTCGAAAACTGCTCGCCAGCGCAAATTCCAAACGCTTTAGATGCTTCAATTCAAGCGCCCCCCAATGGGAACCCGCCCCCATATCCTACGCACTCGGACACCAAGACACACTCATCTTTGAAACCTTAAACTCCCCAAACGAACCTCCCGAGACCTCGATCGCCACAAAAACCGAACACCTCACTTCCAAAAACCTCCATTAGAACAACCCCTCTATATCTACTGGGCCCCACCACCCTCCTTCTCACGGGCATGGTCCCCACCCTATGGCTCCCCATCTCCTCCATATTCCCGGGCCCAACTGTATCGGGCCTCCTCTCCCTCACGGGCCTCGACTGCATTTTCAACCTCGGCGCCTCCCTTTTCCTCCTCATGGCTGACTCAGCAGCCCGCGCGGGCCCCGACGAGAGCTCCAAAGCCTGCAAAACCGGGCCTCCTCTCGACTACCGGGTTTTCAACGTGCTTGCGAATATAACGGGATTCGTTGTCCCACTTTTGGCGTACCTAGGCTCGGAAAACGGGCTCGGGCTGCTGCAGCCGAGAATGGGCTTCGTCCCGTTCGCGGTCCTGTTGGGCCCGTACCTCCTGCTGCTGACGGTGCAGATGCTGACGGAGATGCTGACGTGGCAGTGGGGGTCCCCTGTGTGGCTGGTGGCTCCACTGGTGTACGAGGGGTACCGTTTGCTGCAGCTGATGAGGGGGCTTGGGCTCGGGCAAGAGATGGGTGTGCCAGCCTGGACGGTGCATGTGGTGAGAGGGTTGGTTTGCGGATGGGTGCTCGTTTTTGGGGTGCAGCTGATGAGGGTGGCTTGGTATGCCGGATTTACTGCTTCTGGTTACCGAAGACTGCAGGAATTCGAGGTTTCGGGAGATGGGTGAAGTGGAAAGTTACTAAAGGGGGAAAAAAAGGTAAGAAGTGAAAATGTGAATG